TGGATGGATGGATGGATGGATGGATGGATGGATGGATGGATGGATGGATGGATGGATGGATGTCGGTTCACGTGAGAATGCTCCTTGGTGAAAGAAATAAGAATAAAATCTAGCCTTTGGATCTGATGCATCGATTGGCTCAGATTGCATCCTGCGCTCAAATTTTGAGATACTGCATTTTCAAAGGATTTTGGTGCATTTCGACATGACGCATTTTCAAACCATTTTGGTGCACCTAATTTTGATGCAATCCTGACACTTAGATCTCACAATCTAAAGCACCAGATTCATTCTTATTTTTTCATAAGTTCGCATTCTCACCAGAACCAAAATCTGTGTGTGTATATATATATATTTAAAAAGTACCATTTTGAGTTTTTAATTTTTAACTTATGTTTCGTAGTTCTTTTCAACTTAACTATAGCTTTATTACATATTTTGTTTGTTTTTAGAGGTTGCTAAAATTGACTTTTAATTTTTTGAACTACAATATAGTAGTATGTAATGTATTTATATTTGTGTTAGCAATGTACACTAATTCTCATTTATTACGTGTTGCCTAATTTTAACCTAGGCGTCCTGGCGGCGGTACATTGGCGCCACGCCTCGCTTTCACGCCATGGCAACTATGCTTTAGCGGTGAGCTCCAAAAAGTTTGGCTGCTGTTTTGTACTCTGGTTGCACAGAATAACCAGTGAGGAAATGTTGTATCTTGGCGTAGGTTGTTTGAGGAAAAACAGTGGTTTTATATGGAGAAGGAGTGATAGTCGATTACCTAAAGAGATAATCGATTATGGAAGGGTTCAGTTTCTCAAAGGATTTGGCAGAGAGTTTCTGAAGGGGATGATAGTCGATTTACACAAATATGAAAATCGATTATTGGTGACTGCAGATGTTTCTCGTGAGTTCATAATCGATTCTTCCAAGCTGGTAATCGATTATTGGGCAGTTTCAAGGAACAAAAAGGAGGTGTTTTAGTAACGGGGATAAACCAAGGAGGTCTAAGAGATATAACACACTCTTATCCTTTCTTGGGGTTGAAATCTAGATTTCAATTAAGATATAACACACTTAATGAAATACTAGAACCTAACACTCACACTTAAGGAAACCAACCTTAAGATATAGAAATTAGGATTTGAAAACAGAATACAACCAGTGTATTTCTATCTTGAAATGAAGAATACAATCTGTTTTCAAATGAGGCCTATGGCCGAAATAAATAACAAGGGAAAGGGGGAAATTACAAGCTTTGTTCCTTAATCAAATCACCAAAATATGACTTAATATGATATGCCTTGATGGAATGAAATAAAAGTGGAGTGTAGTGTTTGTGGGACTTGGGTATTTCGGCCAGTAGTAGGGGGAAGAATTGAGGAAGCTAGGTTTTATTTTGAGAAGATGTTTATGGGGATTTGAGAGGGATGTGATTCGGCCATATTAGGGGACAAAGGG